CGTCCTTCCAGGCACTCAGGCCCTGTGTCCACCCAGCATCTGCACTTTTCCTGATGTAAAACAACCAGTTTCCTTTCTGCTTCATCCGGTCTAGGTGAGCTGCTGCCATCGCAATGAAGACAGGCAGCCGGACACGTCACCTGAACTCCAGCCCTGCACACAGTTCCCGGAGCAAGGTCTGCGGGTCCTGGGAGCTTCCTGGAGATAAGAGCGTTTTCAGTGAGGCTACCCCGACGCGGGCCAGGCCAAGGTGGATGTCTGGGCTAGCTGCTGCTGGGCACTGCGGATGGCTCGATGGGCGGCCAGTGCTGGGGAATCTCCTTGGCCCAGTGGCCCCCATGCTCCGGGTCCCCTTCAGATCAAACTCACAGAAACTTGAGGACGTCACCTTGCTACAAAGGGATCACAGCCCTGACGATCCACCAGGTGTCTAGTCACAGGGACAGAGTTCGCCTCAAATTAGTTTAAGCAAAAAGAAAAAACTAAAAGGAAACGGGCCTGCAGGGTCCAGCCCTGCAGGGTCTCCTGGGTGCTGTTTTCTGTGCACAGATGACAGATCACAGAAAAGAAAGACACAAGGACACAGAGATAAGAATTCAGCTGGGCCGGGGGTCCACTGCTACCAAGGGCCAGAGTCCTGCAGTGGCCCCGATGCCTGGACGGCTATTTACTGTATACAAGGCAGGGGCAGGGCCGGAGAGTGACTCATCTGACATGGTTGGTAGGGGTCAAGCAAAACACTTTCTTACAATACAGGGAGTCACCTGGGTACAGTACAGGGGGTCACCTGGGTACAGTACAGGGGGTCACCTGGGTACAGTACAGGGGGTCACCTGGGTACAGTACAGGAGGCCACGTGGGTACAGTACAGGGAGTCACCTGGGTACAGTACAGGGAGTCACCTGGGTACAGTACAGGGGGTCACCTGGGTACAATACAGGGAGTCACCTGGGTACAGTACAGGGGGTCACCTGGGTACAGTACAGGGGGTCACCTGGGTACAGTACAGGAGGCCACGTGGGTACAGTACAGGGAGTCACCTGGGTACAGTACAGGGAGTCACCTGGGTACAGTACAGGGGGTCACCTGGGTACAATACAGGGAGTCACCTGGGTACAGTACAGGGGGTCACCTGGGTACAATACAGGGAGTCACCTGGGTACAGTACAGGAGGCCACGTGGGTACAGTACAGGGAGTCACCTGGGTACAGTACAGGGAGTCACGTGGGTTCAGCATAGGGGACCCCTCCCTCCCAGGTAGCCGCTGCATGGAGGGGAGGCACATACGTCAGCATCTCTATGCACTTATCAGAAAGATCAAAGGCTTTTAGGATTCCTCTAGTCTTACTTCCCACAGCGTCTAAGAATGTACAAGGGGGCATCGGTGGGAAAGTGGGCATGAAGGTGGACAAGGATGGTGACCGTCAGAGCACAGCACCACGGAGAGGTGATTTCCAGGCAGAGAAGTCGGGAGCACCCGTGTCCCTATATGAGGCTCTTCGTGAGCATAGAGGGTGACGGCTGCATTAGGGCCTGGACAGGGGAGGGTCAGGAGTGCGGGCAGCTGAACAGGGGACTCTGGGACCCCTTAACCCACATTCTCTCCACGCAGCTGTCCTCCTCTTTTTCAATTTGTGCTTACTCAGAATTGTTTTCACCTGAGCCAGGTGGCCGGGCCCCTCCCGAAGGCGGGGGAGCAGCTTCATCACATCTCATACTTCTCTCTGCCCGGGGCATGGGGGAGGCTACCCAGAGGCTGCGGGCGGCCCTCACTGGGTGGACAGGGCCTTGCTCGCAATCATGCCCTTGCTCGCTGGGATCTTGAGCCCAGCCTCCCCTCTCCGGCGCCTCGCCTCGCCTCGCCTCCCCTCCCCTCCCCTCCCCGGCGCCTCCCCTCCCCTCCCCGGCGCCTCCCCTCCCCTCCCCGGCGCCTCCCCTCCCCGGTGCCTCCCCTGCCCGGCGCCTCCCCTCCCCGGCGCCTCCCCTCCCCGGCGCCTCCCCTCCCCGGCGCCTCCCCGGCACCTCCCCTCCCCTCCCCTCCCCTCCCCGGCGCCTCCCCTCCCCTCCCCTGCCCGGCGCCTCCCCTCCCCTCCCCTCCCCGGCACCTCCCCTCCCCTCCCCTCCCCTCCCCGGCGCCTCCCCTCCCCTCCCCTCCCCGGCACCTCCCCTGCCCGGCGCCTCCCCTCCCCTCCCCGGCACTTCCCCTCCCCGGCGCCTCCCCTCCCCGGCGCCTCCCCTCCCCGGCGCCTCCCCTCCCCGGCGCCTCCCCGGCACCTCCCCTCCCCTCCCCTCCCCTCCCCGGCGCCTCCCCTCCCCTCCCCTCCCCGGCACCTCCCCTGCCCGGCGCCTCCCCTCCCCTCCCCTCCCCGGCACCTCCCCTCCCCTCCCTCCCCGGCGCCTCCCCTCCCCTCCCGGGCGCCTCCCCTCCCCGGCACCTCCCCTCCCCGGCGCCTCCCCTGCCCGGCGCCTCCCCTCCCCTCCCCGGCGCCTCCCCTCCCCTCCCCGGCACCTCCCCTCCCCTCCCCGGCACCTCCCCTCCCCGACGCCTCCCCTCCCCTCCCCGGCGCCTCCCCTCCCCTCCCCTCCCCGGCGCTCCCCTCCCCTCCCCCGGCGCCTCCCCTCCCCTCCCCGGCGCCTCCCCTCCCCTCCCCGGCGCCTCCCCTGCCCTCCCCGGCGCCTCCCCTCCCCTCCCCGGCGCCTCCCCTGCCCTCCCCGGCGCCTCCCCTCCCCTGCCCGGCTCCTCCCCTCCCCTCCCCGGCGCCTCCCCTCCCCTCCCCGGCGCCTCCCCTGCCCTCCCCGGCGCCTCCCCTCCCCTGCCCGGCTCTGCCCGGCTCCTCCCCTCCCCTCCCCGGCGCCTCCCCTCCCCTGCCCGGCTCCTCCCCTCCCCTCCCCGGCGCCTCCCCTCCCCTCCCCGGCGCCTCCCCTCCCCTCCCCGGCGCCTCCCCTCCCCTCCCCGGCGCCTCCCCTCCCCGGCGCCTCCTCCTGCCTTTGTGACACCTTGGGGGCTGTGACAGTTGGGACAGGCCTGTGAGCCGCGGTTGCAGCACGTCTGGGGTGATGCCAGCTCCAGCTAAGCTCACACGCTGCCTGGTGCTCCACGCAGCTTGCGGGGTGATTCACCTGCCAGGTGCCATAAGGAGGCCCCAAGGCCATTGTCGCTGGAGTGGCCCCGGAGGCGGCCACTGGGACCATTTGTGCCTCCCCAGAGCCCTTTAGTGCTAGGGAGCGCGGGGTCCTCGGTTTCAGGAGTGGGGCCCACAGCACACGTGCACTCGCGCCAGGTGGTCTGATCGTGGTTGACGCTGTACGAGTTGCAGGCGTAATTTCAGAGGGCAAGTGGGTGACAGCTGAGGCTCAAACCCACCTCCCGCCCCGCCCTGCGCACCCCGTCACCTGCCAGAGTGACACTTTCGGTCAGCAGCTGCATTTCCCCTGCCTGCCGGAGGCCTGAGACCCTCACGCCTGGCTAGTTCGGGGCGGGGGTGGGAGGGCGGGGGGGGGTGGGGATGTGTGGGGCGGGGGGCGGGGTGTGGGGGGGCGGGGGGGGCGGAGGGGTGGGGGTAGAGGCCAAACTTGGTGCAGGCAGAGGAGCATCAGGGCCCTGTGTGCAGAGGACAAGGCTGGAGTCGGCCTGGCTGGACTGAGCCCAGGCGGGGGCCAGGGGTCAGGGGTTGGGGGTCAGGGAGCTGCGGGCAAGGTTGGAGCCGGGTCTGGAAGGGGTGGGTAGGAGCCTGGTAAACTGTTTCTGCAGGTGCCGGTGTTTCCTGCCTGGGAGGCCCCCTCAAAGGTGCTGGGGCCCGGGCGGATGCCTGCGGCCGTTCTGAGAAGCAGGAACCGCCCCGGGTGCCAGGACCCTCTCTCCTCTGCCGCAGCTTCCAGGTCGTGGGCAGCTTCACTGCCTCGGACCCCAGGGCCCCCAGAGTACTGGCCGCTCTTATCAGCGGCCTGGGCTGCAGGGAGGAGCTGCAGGCTATTAAGATTTAAAGAGATTTAGTGCAGCGAGACAAGCACCAGAAGGAATTTAATTTAGAGATAAAAAAGTAATCACATGTCAACCTGCGAACGGAGAACCGTCGCCGGGATGCGGATTGTTTTCACTGAGCAACACGTGGCGCTGTCCGAGGCAGCCAGCGCGACCGACCGCTGCGCTTAGAACCCCAGGAAGCCCCCACCCAGCCCTTCGCCACGCAGTTTTGCCACAGAGGTTCTCAGGGTGTGGGCTCAGCTCGGGGTGAGGGCCATGGTCCTCTCCGCTGAGCCAGGTCCGAAGGAGCCTCAGGGGAGCCGCCGTGGGGCCTCCGCACCGATGCCTTCGGCCTTGCCTGCGGTTCTAGAAAATGGCTCTGTTCCAACGTTCCGCAGTCCCCACCGATGCTTCCTTCCTGCCTTTGGTGTCTTCTCAGGAGTAGTTGTGGCCCGTCCACCTGCACCCTTCCCAGTGAGGGGTGGGCCTGTGGGGGATGGTTTGGGGGATGGTCTGTATGGGATGGGTCTCTCTCTGGGGGAGGGGTCTGTATGGGATGGGCCTGTGGGGGATGGGCCTGTGGGGGATGGTCTGTATGGGATGGGTCTGTGGGGGATGGGTCTGTGGGGGATGGGTCTGTATGGGATGGGTCTCTCTCTGGGGGAGGGGTCTGTATGGGATGGGTCTCTGGGGGATGGGCCTGTGGGGGATGGGCCTGTGGGGGATGGTTGGGGGATGGTCTGTATGGGATGGGTCTCTGGGGGATGGCTCTGTATGAGATGGGCCTGTGGGGGATGGTTGGGGGATGGTCTGTATGGGATGGGTCTCTGGGGGATGGGTCTGTGGGGGAATGCTTGGGGGATGGTCTGTAGGCTGGGGTCTGTATGGGGTGGGCCTGTGGGGAATGGCTTGGGGGATGGTCTGTATGGGATGGGTCTCTGGGGGATGGGCCTGTGGGGGATGGGTCTGTATGAGATGGGCCTGTGGGGGATGGTTGGGAGATGGTCTGTAGGCTGGGGTCTGTATGGGGTGGGCCTGTGGGGGTTTGTGCCACCCCTGCCCAGCCTTACGGGCTCTGTGTCCTCATCTTCTTCTTGCTCTACTGCCCCCCCGCCCCCCCCCCCCCCGCCTCTCACCTCACACGGAGGCCTTCACCACAGTTTCTTTGCATGGGAACCTGCCGTGGCCTCCTCTGCAGGGGAACTTGTGCAGGATTTGCAGGTCCATCCCTCAGCCTCCAGCCCCGATGCCGCCCCTGCCCCAGGGCCTTTGCACCTGCTCCTCCCTCTGCCTGGCGTCTCACTCACAGCTACTACTTCCTCCTCAAATCCATTTCCTGTGGCTGCTGTCATAGCACGCCACACACTGGCCACCGAAACCTCAAACCTCACCTTCCCTCTGTTCCGGAGGCCAGAGAGCTGAGACCAAGGCACACTGGCCGGGCTCTCCTGAAGGCGCTGAGCAAGAGCCCCTCCACCCCTCAGGCCTCTCTGCCTTTGCTGCAGCCTGTGGGTCTGGCCTGTGGCATGTCCTCCGGCCTTAGCCACTGCCTTCCCGTGGCCTCTCTGAGCTCACATCTCCCTCTCCTCTCTCTCCTGTAGAGGGTCCTCAGCATTGGATCTCGGCTCCCCCTAAATCCGAGATGGCCTCATCTCTGGACCCTTAACCCAGTACGTCTGCAATTACAGGGATTTCCAATAAGGTCCCATCCCAGGTCCTGGGGCACGAGTGCAGTCAGAGTTCTGGGTTCCCGCAGCCCGCTTGTCCCAGTCTTCATTCGGGGGGAGCTCGGTGGCCGTCCCTGCCACCCACTCTAGCAGTGGCCCCTTCTTCACGGCTCATTTTTCTTTATGGAGCTCATTTCTTTCTGACATTAACGTGCCTCACCCACTGCCGGGTCACCTGGAGAGCAGGGATGAGGCACCGTATTCACTCTAAGCTGCATCCTCAGTCCACAGCGCTGCCCCAGGAAGTCCTGCTGAGTGTTGGGTGTTTCCCTGGGCTGATGGTTTGCACCTGGCGGCTGGTGAGTCGGGGCCCTCTCTGCATCCCAGGGCTGGTTCCAGACCCCCACTGTGGCTGCCTCCCCACAGGGATTTCCACCCTGGGTCACAGCCGCCCCTTCCCCAGGACCAGCCCCAGCCTGTGCTCTCTCCCGCTCTGGGAGGGTCTGGCAAGCCCCTTGCCCGTGGCAGAATGTCAGGATCTCCCTCCGTAGGCCCTGGGTCCTAGCGACTACCCCCGTCCTTCCGGATGATCCCGAGAGGACGGTGTAGGCTGGGGTGGCGGTGGCTGGGGAGGGATGGCCGTGGGGCTCTTCCTCTTCCCTGCCCTCGGGAACACAGTCTCCTGTCCAGAGCCAGCCGCTCCTGGTGGCTGGGCAGTGCCTGCTCTGGTGTTCTAGAGGGGGTCCCCGTGCAGCGGGCCAGGCTGCGTGACCCAGTCCCCGGGCTTCCCCGACGCCCTCCCCTGCAGTGCAGGGCTCCACACAGCCGACTCCTCGCAGTGAGGCACCAGGGCTGGCGGGAGGGTGACAACCTAGATCCCAAGTGGGCTGCTTGCCCAGGAGGGAAAGCCGCTCAGGTTTTGGGGTGACTGGGGCGGGGCACAGGACCCTGGGGGACTCAGCAGCACAGGGGCTGCATCTGTGGATTCATTCGCTGCAGTGCCGGGTGGGGCAGTGTGGGTGGGCAGCTGGGTGGTCCTGTGAGCTGTCTGTGAGGTCGAGTGAGCTGCCGGGAAAGGACGGGGAAGGGAGGGCCGAGGTGGAGGAGGGACGTGCTCTCATCGGCAGCATGGCCGCAGCCCCAGACCAGGGCTCCAGGAATCCACGCTTGCTCTGGGGGCTTCGGTCTCCATGTTCCGGGGGCCGCAGGAGCCTAACTCACGTCCCTGACACCCCTCAGCTCCAATCCCTCCTCGTGCACCTCTAGCCCCAATTCAGGATTGCACTGTGGTGGCTGAAATGTGGAGTTTGCCCACCAGGAGGAACCCCCGGCCCGGGGCTGACGGCGACCCCGCCTTGGCCTCTGTTCTCCCTGCGGAATCGCTTTGACTGCTCCTGAGGGCGGTGAGGCCGCCTTGCTGTGTCAGATTCATGGATTGTAATGGAATTCATCAGACGAAAAACAGACAAAGGAACACACAGGATGAAAGGTGGAGCCGTGTTCTTCTCCTTTAAAAAGATTTTTAAAAAACTGTGAACTGTGCAAAAATATTCCTATTGTCATGGCCCAGCATTAGAACCGAGTACAATCCTGCATGCTTGCTTCAAGCCCCTCTGTGTTTTCCCTCTAAGGTACTCGATTGTTTCTGTGAAAATAACACATACTCATTCCAAAGAATTTAATCGATGCAGAAATGTGCCAAGAAAAAAATGCAAACACTCTAGGCACCTTCACCCAGGAAACACTGCTGTTGACATGCGGTGATTATTATTCCGGGGGAGTGGCGGATACGCAGCAACGCTCCGAATGTGGACACGCTGTTTTCAGTCAGAGTTAAATTTCATCCACTCGAGCTTGAGATGGGAAAAGGAAACTCAAGGGGTTTTTGAATTGCAAACGCATGGCTCTCTATCAAGTTATTTTTGAGAGTTCTCTAAGGCGGTTGTAAAAAGTTTACAGAGCAGTGCAAGCTTTGAGTCACCTTTTAAGAATGGATGGCAATTTAGACATGGCTGTAAAACGTGGCGAATGTGTGTGTTGAGTCTTCTGCCCGTCTCTCTCCCTCCCACTCTGACTGTCGTTGGTCGTATCCCTGCCTTATATTGTCCTGCTTTGCAACGCTGGTGCTCCAGTGTGAGACAGTAACTCCTGCATCACTGGGTATGGGGAATCTTTCCAGGATCCGGTGCTGCTGGTGAACACAGTGCCTTTCACTTTTCTATTCCTGAAGTTGGACTCCACTCTGGATTGCTTTGCCAGCTGGCATCTGGTTTTTTAGGAAGGGCTCTTGGGTGCTGAAGTCCTTTCGTGCCTCTGTCCCAGGTGCTATCTTGGCTGGGCATGGTTTCTGCCGGTGCTGGAGCATGAGCACCTCTCATTGTGTATTGGGTGATATCTTAGCTGGGTATGGCTCTGTGGGTGCTGGAGGATGAGCACCTCTCCCTGTGTACTGTACTGGGTGATATCTTAGCTGGGCGTGGTCTGTGGGTGCTGGAGGATGAGCACCTCTCCCTGTGTACTGTACTGGGTGATATCTTAGCTGGGCATGGTGTGTGGGTGCTGGAGGATGAGCACCCCTGCCTGTGTACTGGGTGATATCTTAGCTGGGCATGGTCTGTGGGTGCCGGAGGATGAGCACCTCTCCCTGTGTACTGTACTGGGTGTTATCTTAGCTGGGCGTGATGTGTGGGTGCTGGAGGATAAGCACCTCTCCCTGTGTACTGTACTGGGTGATATCTTAGCTGGGCATGGTCTGTGGGTGCTGGAGGATAAGCACCTCTCCCTGCATACTGTACTGGGTGTTATCTTAGCTGGGCATGGTCTGTGGGTGCTGGAGGATAAGCACCTCTCCCTGTGTACTGTACTGGGTGTTATCTTAGCTGGGCATGGTCTGTGGGTGCTGGAGGATGAGCACCCCTGCCTGTGTACTGGGTGATATCTTAGCTGGGTATGGCTTCTGCAGTCCTGCAGCCATTCCCTCACACTCAGCCATGGTTTTCCTGTGTCTTCTGGCTCCGAAGATGGCTGGTAATATCTGAGGCCAGTGTGGCTGATTTTTTCTTGTAAATGATTTACTTTTTGTTGCTTAAAGAGTCTTCTTTACCCTCAGTGTTCAGGAACTCAACTATGTTTTCTTTCAAAATTTTCCAGAAAACAGGGCCGTCTTCAGATCTGCCAGTCCAGTGTTATTATTATTTTTTGTAGATAAATTTGTCTTTGGATGCACTATGTCTTCCACTTGCTGGGTTCTTGACTTCAGGGAAATCCATTTTTCATATGTTGATTTTTTTATGTCTTTTTTTTGAAGGAAGGGGAGGTTTATTCGGCCGGGAGCAGGGTGGCATGGTTGCCTCACAGCCAAGCTTGTCTAACAAAGGAAATCTCTGCCTTTATATAGGCTCACAACTCTAGATATTACATGTGAATATAATATGGGTCTTGGGTTTACAGTTTTAGAAGGTACACGTGAGGGGGTCGGGATCGATAAGTAAGCATGGGGGTTTGAGGAAGATTGAATGGCCACAATAGAGGGCGTTTCTCCATTCCCCACCCTTAACATTGCCTGAGATCTTAAGGGTCAGGGGGGATTTAATCTTTAACCTCCAGGCCGCTGACCTCATGCCTGCTACTTACCAACTTTTACTTCCTCCTTCTCTGAGATAAGAGTCAGGGAAGAGGGTTTTTTCCCTCATTTCCCCACTTTGAGAACCTCACTTACTAGTGAAGAGGGAGACCCAGGCATCTCAGATCAACTTCCCCTTCTTCCTAAGACTGTAAACTTCCCCTTTTCATTCCTAAGACTGTAAACTGAGACCCTTTTCACATGTAATTCCTGAGACTGTAAACCGAGACCCTTTACACATGTAATTCCTGAGACTGTAAACCGAGACCCTTTTCACGTGTAATTCCTGAGACTGTAAACCGAGACCCTTTTCACGTGTAATTCCTGAGACTGTGAACCGGGACCCTTTACACGTGTAATTCCTGAGACTGTAAACTGAGACCCTTTTCACATGTAATTCCTGAGACTGTAAACCGAGACCCTTTTCACGTGTAATTCCTGAGACTGTAAACCGGGACCCTTTACACGTGTAATTCCTGAGACTGTAAACCGAGACCCTTTTCACATGTAATTCCTGAGACTGTAAACCGGGACCCTTTTCACGTGTAATTCCTGAGACTGTAAACCGAGACCCTTTTCACGTGTAATTCCTGAGACTGTAAACCGGGACCCTTTTCACATGTAATTCCTGAGACTGTAAACTGAGACCCTTTTCACATGTTAAGCTATAAACCTAAGACTCTTTCACGTGTAACATCTAAAGTATAAGCCTATATAAAGAAGGAACCTTCCTTTGTTAGGGAGCTTGGCTGTTAGGCAACTATGCCACCCGGCTCCCGGCCTGAATAAACTCCTTCCTCCTGTATTCGGTGTCCGAGAGATCCGTTTCCCGCGGCCACTCCTGCTACACTAGTAATAACCACTACTGTGTTATGCTTATTATTTAAACTTTACTTTGTTCCATTTATTTTATTTATTAAATTTCCTTCCTCATTTCCCCCCTTTAAAGGCTTTTTAAAAAAATGAAAACTATTATTAGAAAGCTTTTACTTTCTTTTTAATATACAGAGTGCTAGAACAATAGCACAGAGTCTCGTCACAGGCAACTTGCTTTCCTGCCTGGGAAGTTACTTTGCCGGTCATCTGCTCCTGGCACGGCTTGCTGAGAGCAGACTGGCTCTTGGCTGGACCTTTGCCTCCGTGGGCCTCCTCTGTGGGCCTCCCTACAGCTGTTTGGCTGGACCTTTGCCTCAGTGGGCCTCCCAGCAGCTGTTTGGCTGGACCTTTGCCTCCGTGGGCCTCCTCTGTGGGCCTCCCCACAGCTGTTTGGCTGGACTTTTGCCTCCGTGGGCCACCCCGCAGCTGTTTGGCTGGACCTTTGCCTCCGTGGGCCTCCTCTGTGGGCCTCCCCACAGCTGTTTGGCTGGACCTTTGCCTCCGTGGGCCTCCTCTGTGGGCCTCCCCACAGCTGTTTGGCTGGACTTTTGCCTCCGTGGGCCACCCCACAGCTGTTTGGCTGGAACTTTGCCTCCGTGGGCCTCCTCTGTGGGCCTCCCCACAGCTGTTTGGCTGGACCTTTGCCTCCGTGGGCCTCCTCTGTGGGCCTCCCCACAGCTGTTTGGCTGGACCTTTGCCTCCGTGGGCCTCCTCTGTGGGCCTCCCCACAGCTGTTTGGCTGGACCTTTGCCTCCATGGGCCTCCCCACAGCTGTTTGGCTGGATCTTTGCCTCCGTGGGCCACCCCACAGCTGTTTGGCTGGATCTTTGCCTCCGTGGGCCACCATGCAGCTGTTTGGCTGGACCTTTGCCTCCGTGGGCCACCCCACAGCTGTTTGGCTGGATCTTTGCCTCCGTGGGCCACCACGCAGCTGTTTGGCTGGACCTTTGCCTCCGTGGGCCACCCCACAGCTGTTTGGCTGGATCTTTGCCTCCGTGGGCCACCACGCAGCTGTTTGGCTGGACCTTTGCCTCCGTGGGCCACCCCACAGCTGTTTGGCTGGAACTTTGCCTCCGTGGGCCACCACGCAGCTGTTTGGCTGGACCTTTGCCTCCGTGGGACTCCCCGCAGCTGTGCCTGTCTTAGCTCTCATCTTTCAGGGAGCCTTACTCGTCATTGACCAACCAGCCATCCGCTCGGGGGGCACAAGGTCGGCACTGTCTTGGAGAGAAGCACAGGTAAGCCCCTTCGGAGCTGAACTCGGAGCTCCTTCCTGCGCCATTTGCTTGTGCCCAGGTAGGAGTTAGATCACAGCCCAGTGAGTTCCTTTACAGGTGATGTTTCAGCCTTAGCCTCTGTACTTTGTCCTCGTACATCTGTGTGTGTAAGCCGCATACAAGGAGAGGAAAGGGAGACGTGGGAAAGGAAAATAGCCTGTAACAGACCTATGTCAATTTTCTAGCCTTCTGCCTTTTCATGAGGTGAGCTTTCTTCTGCGGGTAATGGCTGTTACCTATTTGGTGCCATTATCAGGGAGGTGATGTGTTTTGTCACCCCTGCCTCTGTGGTGGACTGTGCACCCCCAAACAGGAGAGGCAATAGCACGGGGTATTAGACAGCTGCCTCAGGTAAGTGCTGTGCTCCCAGTGAGAGCCTCGAATCCGCCAGAAGGCGAAAACCATCCACCGAAGAAGCCTGGAGTTCAGCCTTTTCCAGGTTTGGACTGGAACACGGGTATAACTGTTTCATCTCGCCGCCTGCCCGTTGTCGTTAATTTTTAAACAGCAGTTAAGTCACATTTGCCACAGACGCCCCCTCCTGAGGCCAGCGGATAATGTAATGTCGTCTGTTTTGATAGACTGCATTTCTTGTTTCTGTAGACTGTGGTCAGGGAACCAAATGAAGCAGGAGCGGCTGCGAGAAACACACCTGTTGAACACCGACCTGGGAAGGAAGGGGTGATTTATCGGGCCGGGGGCGAGGGGGCCAAGCTCCTCTGATGTGTCTTTCGAGCTGATTCGCCTCTCTCTCAATTGTCTTTTTCATCTGCATTGACTCTGCTTACCTCAAGCTTTTCTTCTACGACAATACTTTGATTTTCTGTGGCAGATAATATATATGGAAATGTATACGCATTGTACATTTCTTAGTAAAGGCTGAAGTGACAGCAAAGATTATAAACTGGGATTGAAACAGTTCAGGGGACGACGGACGAGGCAGCACATCCACAGGGCGCCAGAGCAACGCCGTGAAGACGACCTTCCGATGCCAGCGTGGAGAGGCGGCTGGAGACGGAGGAGGCAGGGTGCCATCGCCGCCATCCCAGGCTCCTCTCACCGTCGCTCACAGCGGGACAGCCGGATGTCGCTGTTGTGATGTGACTCAAGGGCACAGCGCATCCCATGGAGGGCGGCTACACCAAGCCCTCCCCACGATCTCCTAAAGCCTTTAGACGAAGCTCGCCGTTTCCAGATAACGCCGGAGGTGGAGCAGGCAGAGCACCCGCACCAACCAGCCGCCGAGGTGTCCTGCGGAACGGGCGGCCTGTGCTCCTCGGCAGGCGGGCGGCACCGACGAGGACTCTGCTTGCTCACGTGGCAGCCCAGGGCCACGTGTGGCTCTCCACGGGTTCTGCCTTCAACACACCTGCTGCCCAGGACAAGTGTTATGTCAGTTCAGGTCTGGGCAGTAACTGAGTCAAAATAAAGAGAATTGGAAGGACGGGCACCACAGACCGACGGAAGCGGGCAGCAGCGAAGAACCAGCACCGGTGACACGGCTGTGCCCTGCGTGTGCGGCCACATGAGGAAGAGGCAGAAGGGTCTGCGCCGTGGAAACATGGGATCTTTTCTTTTTTGATACGCAGAGTCTTATTCTATCACCCAGGCTGAGTGCGGTGGCGTGACTCGGCTCAGTGCAGCCTCCACCTCCCGGGTTCAAGCAGTTCTGCCTCAGCCTCCGAAGTAGCTGGGATTACAGGTGCACACCACACCCAGATAATTTTTGTATTTTTTTTTTTTTTTAGTAGAGATGGGGTTTCACTGTGTTGTTCAGGCTGGTCTCGAACTCCTGACCTCAGGTGATTTGCCCACCTCAGCCTCCCAGAGTGCTGGGATTACAGGTGTGAGCCCGCACCCGGCCTAGAAGCATGGCCTTTCCGGGTGGTCATTTTGCCTCTATTTTCTGTGACTTCTGTAATAAGAGAAGGGTTGCTTTACACATAAAAGTACGATAGGGAATTCTGAAAGCACTGATGGTGCGACCCTATTTCTCGGCCCTTCTAGGTCTTCACTAAGACCTTAACGGTGTTATTTTGGTCCTCAATTCATTTCCTGAGATCTGCAGACTCTCTCTTCATATCACTTTATTTTATTCTCTTATTTTAAATTCTTATTTTTATTGAACTTAGGTTATAATTATGTTGTTTTACTATGAAAAAATAATGAAAAACTTCCTTTGGTCGAGAATTAGGTTTCCTGTGTTTCTGTCTTCCGCCGGTATTTTGCACGCGTTCTCTCTCCCCCTCCCTCTCTCTTCTCGTCTCTCTCTGTCTCTCCCTCTATCTCTTCTCGTCTCTCCCTGTCTCCCTCCGTCTCTCCCTCTCTCTCTCCCCCCACTCCCCTGTAGAGTGTCCAGGTGACCGTGACCGTGACATTGCGAGTATAGTTTCCCGGACGTCCCCTCTGCTCTGGTGTCACGTGGGTGGCTCTGGACTCCTGCCTCTGGGCACTGGCCACAGCCCGGTCTCCGTCTGCGGGCGTGGGGACCGAGGGAGCTGCGGTGTGCCCCCGAAAGCGTCGCCACCTCTGCCTCATTTCTTACCAGACCTGGTCTGTGGAGATTGGAAGGCATCTTCCCTTCAGGTGCGTCCCTCTCCCGCCCTTTCCCCCTTTCTTCCTGGTGGTTCCTGGATGGCTGGGGCTGCTTCCTGAGGCCAGTGATGGCGTCCGGCAGAGGCCTCGGCTGTGATGGCCTGAAGCCATGCGGGAGGTCTGCAGGGTCGCTGTGACCTTCCTGCTGTGAGCAGAGACCCTCTGGGGCCTGTGATAAAACCCACAGAATGTTGCCGGAGTCAGGCTCAGCAGCTCTGGGGAGGGGCCTGGGGCTCTGCATTCCTGGGGGCTCTGGGGTGATGCGAACGCAGCTGGTCTGAGCCCACACTCTGAGGAGCCACCGTTTCATCAGGTTTCAGCTACGTGCAGCTGGGTGTCACCCCTGCCCAAGGGCTGGGCTCTCGGTCTCCGAAACAGGGTGAATTTCCTGCAGGTTTCATTTCTAGAAATTGGAGGGGTGTCCCTCACTCCCTGGGGAGGCCCTGGGGCTGGGCTCTGTGCAGAGTCCTGGAGCCTTCACACTGCAAAGAGAGCTGACTCCAGCATCCCTGTCCCCATTGCCAGAGAGACTCGACCCCAGCACCCACCTCCCCGCTGCCAGAGACAGCCGACCTCAGTGCCCACCTCCCCGCTGCCAGAGACAGCCGACCTCAGCGCCCACCTCCCCGCTGCCAGAGACAGCCGACCTCAGCGCCCACCTCCCCGCTGCCAGAGACAGCAGACCCGAGCACCCACCTCCCCGCTGCCAGAGACAGCCGACCTCAGCACCCACATCCCCGCTGCCAGAGACAGCCGACCTCAGCGCCAGTGTCCTCAGCTCTGGTTGTCCTGGCGCGGGTTCCTCAGCCTCAGGCAGACAGAGCGGGAGAAGGAGGCCTCTGGGGTTTGCTCCTCTGAGACTGTGAACATTACTGAGAGTGCCAGGATTTCAGTAACTCACAGTCTTTCTCTGAAAAATAATGTATTTTCATGTCACAGAGACGATGATAATCCAGAGGCCATTGCTCTGGGCTGCTGATGTGAACAGTCGTGGTGGATCTGCCTCTGAGCACGTGCGATGCACCACGACACTCAACTTCTCCCACATACGTTTCCTCGGGGCTGAGCCCACGCTGCAGGGAGGGGCCCTCTAGGCTGGGTGGGTGGGGGAGAGCAGGCATTGGCCTCACCCTTGGGACAGGGCCTCCCTGAGGGGGAAGGCTCAGCCCCAGGGCATGGCACAACCCCTGCAGGTGAGGAGGAAATCTAATACAGCAGCTCGCCTGCATTCCGTCGGTCACTCTGTCCCCCAGGCTCTCCCTGCGGCATCTCTGCTGTTTGTTCCCCCAGCCAGGGTCCACGGAGCACCTGCCGTGGCCACGCCCTGGGCCGGGAGTTCCAACCTGGAGTCACGTGAGGGTCGGGGTCTCTGTCCTGCAGCATCTGGCCTGGGCCGGTGAACCGGGAATCATATGTATTGTCCCAAACGATGAGAACTTTGGGAAGCAAAACATCAGAGTGTGCGAAAGGCTGTGACTCGGGCTGGGGGCCCTCGGGGCTGCTCCGGAGGGGACAACTGTCCTGGGCGCAGGGTGGCTGGAGAGGGGGTGGCGAGGCTGCCTGGGCCTCGCCTGGGCACCTCACTTCAGTGGCACTGCACGCTGAGCGCAAGGAGGGCGGGCCCTGGTCAGTAGTGGCCAGCGGGTCCCCGCCCAGGAGAGGAGGGAGGGCTCACTGGGTCCCCCCGGCTCTCACCCGCCTGTCTCCCACCCCTGCCATGTGACTCAGCTGCTTACCCCACCCCAGCGAGGGCAGAGTCTCTTTCCAGTCCTTGGTTCTGTGTTTGTCCGAGGGATGGGACTTGGGCAGAGGCTGGGAAGGCACCTGCTGGCTCTTCCTCTCACGCTCACCATCCCCAGGTCTAGGGTCCCTGGCGGAGGACGAGACACACCTGAGGGACGGGACAGAGCTGTCTGGTGGAGGCTGCAGCCAACCAGCCCCAGACCAGTAAGTGAGCCTTGAGTGGCCCCGAGGGACAGAGGAGCCACTGCTGAGCCCAGCCTGGCCCCCGACCTGCGGTTTGTGAGCTAAACCAATCGTCAGGTGGAAACCAGAGCTCTGGGCGACTCGCTTCTAAGCACATTATTGCTACAAAGGTGAACTGACTCAGTGAGGAAGCACAAAGGGAGGCCGGAGGGGACAGGGCTGGACCCCAGAGGGGACAGAACCGGACCCGCAGGCCCTGGGGCCACGTGCAGTGAGGTCTGGGGCGCTGAGCAGTCGGGGCCAGGGTGTCAGGTCAGCCGTGATTTCCCCACACACTTAGAACTCCCCAGCGTGCTCTGACAATGAAGACCCTCGGGGGAGGTCGCTGGGCGGAAGGTGGTCCCGGCTATGCATAAGCAGGACTGAGACCGGGCCGGGCGGGGGTCAGGGATGGGCACCCCAGGACTTGACCTCGGGGGCTGGAGGGGGTGCTCAGGGCTTCCACCACCCGCAGGATAACTGAGCAGAGGGAGCCTCCAACCTCCGTCCTCTGCTGGCATTGGGCAGCAGCCACGGGGGCCACAGGGCCTCCTTGGAAGACTGACGCCGCCTCTGGTCACTCAGCTCCTGCCCGGCGGGGGGAGGACGTTACCGCTCAGTTCCGTTACCTCCAAAGCAGAAGGATGAGCTCCCGTTTTACCTGTGAGGAAACTCATTTGATTTTAAATGATTTTCAGCCTGGAAGTTGGTGAATTTTAGGAGGCTCTTAAATAAATTGCCTCGAAATAAAGATGAGCTTCTGGTTTACAGCAAAACTGTATCGGTCCTGACTGGAACTTTTGCAGAGATTTGGTTGCGGGATGCTGGGCCTGGCCCGGCAGAGCAGAGACCACAGTGCGCCCGGCGTTAAAAATGGGGTTTGGCCGGGCGCGGTGGCTCAAGCCTGTCATCCCAGCACTTTGGGAGGCCGAGGCGGGTGGATCACAAGGTTAAGAGATAGAGACCATCCCGGTCAACATGGTGAAACCCCGTCTCTACTACAAATCCAAAAAGTTTAGCTGAGTATGGTGGCGCGTGCCTGTAATCCCAGCTACTCGGGAGACTGAGGCAGGAGAATTGCCTGAACCCAGGAGGCGAAGGTGGCGGTGAGCCGAGATCGCGCCATTGCACTCCAGCCTGGGTAACAAGAGCGAAACTCCGTCTCAAAAAAAATATATATATATAAAAAAATGGGGTTGTGCAAGGTGCCACGTGCGTGACACGCTTCCTGCGCTTTGTGTCTTAGCATGAGCAAAAATAAGGCAAACGATCTCTGATTATGTCAGTAATTGAAGTTTCCTGTAGATAACTTGAAAAATAAACGGAAGCCTCACTGCGTCTGATGCTGTAGCTCCGTGAAACTCCCACTTTACGTTTTGGTGACACGTTGCCCGTAACTGTTCTCCAGTTTGCAGAGCCGAGCGAGCAGCGAGCGCACACCGGGCAGGAGTTTGTAACTTTTCTAAGATGTACCATATTCTGAGTGCATTATACTTTTTGTAACATGATCTAAGTGTCTGAGGGGCAGCCACTGTTTAAACACAGGGCGTTCATCCGACCGCCTCCTGCTGCTGTCGCTCTCAGCCTCACGGCTTCACGCACGAGTCCGCCCAGGGTAGGCGTCACTTCAGGGAAAAGCTGCCGCCAAACCTCAGTGTCTGGGGTGCTTAATTTTAGGTATTAACCTGACTGGGTTAAGGGAGACCTGGAAAGCAGGTGAAACACGATCACCGCGTGTGTCTGTGTGGTGCGTGAGTCGGTGGACAGAAGGGGAGGCTCCACCCTCACCCGTCCGGTCGGCTGGGGTTCAGATAGAACGAAACGGTGCAGGAAAAGTGAATTCCCTCTCTCTCTCTTTCTCCTCCCCACCTCCCTGGCTCCTCCTTCCTCTCTCTCTTCCCTCCCTCTATTTCTCCCCGCCCCCTCCTGGAGTAGGAATGCCCTTCTCCTGTCTTGGAGATCAGGGCTCCAGGTTCCCTGGCCTTGGACCCCAGGGCTTGGCCAGTGTCCACCACCCCTTGTTCTGAGGCCTCCAGCCTTGGGCTGAGCCATGATACCAGCTTCCTTGTTCTCCAGATTGTAGACAGCGTGTCATGGACTTCTCAGTCTCTGTAATCACAGGAAAGAAATTGAAGAGGATACAAACAAAGGGAAAGACATCCCACGCTCGTGGATCAGAATTACTACTGTTAAAATGACTATACTTCCGAAAGTCATCTACACATTCGATGCAATTCCTATTAAAATACCAACGACATTCTTCACAGAAATAGAAAAAGCTCTTAGCATTAGAAAGAGCTTAACAATCTTAACATTAACATTCTTAACCACAAAAGACACAGAATGGCCAAAGCAATCCTAAGCAAAAAGAACGAAGCTGGTACAAAAATTAGCCGGATGTGGTGACACCCACCCGTAATCCCAGCTACTCAGGAGACTGAGGCAGGAAAATTTCTCAAACCTAGGAGGTGGAGGTTGCAGTGAGCCAAGATTGCGTCATTGCACTCCAGCCTGGGTGATGGAGTGAAACGCCATAAAAAAAAAAAAAACAAAAAACTGGAGGAATCACACTACCAGACCTCAAAATATATGATAAAGCTATAGTAACCAAAACAGCATGGTACTGCCCTTAAAAAAAACCAGATACATAGACAATGCAACAGAGCAGATAACCTAGATATTAACTCGTCTATCTATCAGCAACTGATTTTTTTTTTTTTTGAGACGAAGTTTCGCTCTTGTTACCCAGGCTGGAGTGCAATGGTGCGATCTCGGCTCACCGCAACCTCCGCCCCCTGGGTTCAGGCAATTCTCCTGCCCTCAGCCTCCTGAGTAGCTGGGATTACAGGCACGTGCCACCATGCCCAGCTAATTTTTTGTAATTTTTAGTAGAGACGGGGTTTCACCATGTTGACCAGGATGGTCTCGATCTGTTGACCTCATGATCCACCCCCTCGGCCTCCCAAAGTGCTGGGATTACAGGCTTGAGCCACCATGCCCAGCCAGCAACTGATTTTTAACAAAGATGCCAAGAGCACCCACTGGGGAAAGAATAGCCTTTTCAATAAAAGATGCTGGAAATCCTGGATATCCGTAGGCAGAGGAATGAAACTAGGGCTCCACCTCTCATCCTACACAAAAGTCAACCCAAAAGGGATTAAAAAACCGAAGTGCAAGACTCAAAACTACTGAACGTAGGGGAAATGCCTCGGACATTGGTCAGGAAGAGTTTGTATCAATAAGATCGAGAAAGCACGGGCGGCACAAGCTACACTAAACACATGGGGTTCGTGTCAGACTGAAACGCTTCTGCGCGGCGAGGGAAAAGACAGCTGCCAAATGGGAGAGGATGTCTGCCGCCTGCTCCTCTGACAAGGGACTAATGTCCGGAACTCACAAGAAACTCAAACAAGCTCAACAGCAAAAAAATGGATTCAACAGCACCAATTTGATTAAAACCCTGGCAAATGATCTGAACAGGTGTTTCTCAACAGAAGACACGCATCACTAACCATCAGGGAGATCCAACTGAAACTGTGATGAGATTCCGTCTTGTACCAGTCAGAACTGGTATATTATCAACACGACAAAAAGTAGTAAATGCCGGCAGGGATGCAGAGAAGAGGGAACCTGTGCCCTGTTGGTGGGAAGGTAAAGGGACACAGCCGCTGTCGAGAACAGCACGGAGCCTCCCTGGGAAGTGCAGGATCCAGCAATCCCACTTCTGGAGGTTTATCAAAGGGAAGAGAGTCAGTGCCTGCAAGAGATGTCTGCACCCCGTGTTGACTACAGCCCTGTCCACAGCAGCCAAGATGTGGAGCCAACCTGGGTGTCCAATGGCAGATGACTGGATGAAGGGAGTGCCGTGCACACACTCTGCAGAATACTATTCAGCCGTGAAAAAGAATCAAATCCTGCCCTTGGGGGCAACATGGATGGCACTGGAGGGCATCAGGTTAAATGAAATAAGCCAGGAACAGAAAGACAAACATCACGTGTCCTCACATGGGGAAGCTAAAACACGCTGACCTCAAAGCAGTAAAGGGGAAAAGAACATACTGGGGGGGCAGGGGGAAGGGGAGGGGAAAGGAGAGGGGCGGGAAGGATTTGTTAAAGGAAAGAAATTCACAGCCAGACAGGAGGGAGAGGTGCGAGCTGGCTGGCATGACGGGATGAGCAGAGGTGACATGTTACAGAGTCTCAAACAGCTGGAAGGGTATGGAATGTTTCTAACAGAAAGAAATGGGAAGTGTTGGCAAGGATAGTGTTAAAAACACCTTCAGCCAAATTAAATTGAGAAGAGTGTAACTGAGCAAAGAACACTTTGCAAATTGGGTAGCCCACAAGAGAGTGGGCACAGAGACTCCAGTGCAGCCAGGTGGCAGAAGAAGATTTATGGACGGGCAGAGGAATGTGATGAGGGACAGAAACAGCCGGATTGGTGGCAGCTCGGCGTCGGCCTCATCGGAGCGCGGTCTGATGGCGGGTTTCTGCCTGTGATTGGCAGAACTCATGACTGGCACAAGAACAGGCTGTGGTCTGTTTGCCTCTCCATCGAGGCTCCCGGGCTCGAGGTACAGAGAAGACTTTTGACCGAACGTAAAACAGGGAAGGACACAGCTTTAGCCAAACTTGATTCAGCAATGGATACGCTAATGGCCCTAAGCTGATCGGGTGGTCGTATGTCTGGGAAGAGCGCTCGGCAACCCTTGAATATTGGAGAATTATTCTATGTCAAAACACTCAAAAACTGGGAAATACAAATTACTCCAAAGAAGAAATGGAGAACTGGACGTCTTCTCCAAGGAAGAGATACAGAGATATACAAAGACACACAAAACCCCACGACACGCAAGGAGGATATACAGAGATACATAAAGACACACAAAAACCCACGCCAGGCAAGGAGGATATGCAGAGATATAAAAAGACACACAAAACCCCAGGCCAGGCAAGGAGGATATGCAGAGATATAAAAAGACACACAAAACCCATGCCAGGCAAGGAGGATATGCAGAGATACAAAAAGACACACAAAACCCCAGGCCAGGCAAGGAGGATATGCAGAGATATACAAAGACACACAAAACCCACGCCAGGCAAGGAGGATATACAGAGATACACAGAGACACACAAAACCCACGCCAGGCAAGGAGGATATGCAGAGATACACAGAGACACACAAAACCCACGCCAGGCAAGGAGGATATGCAGAGATACACAGAGACACACAAAACCCACGCCAGGCAAGGAGGATATGCAGAGATACACAGAGACACACAAAACCCACGCCAGGCAAGGAGGATATGCAGAGATACACAGAGACACACAAAACCCACGCCAGGCAAGGAGGATATGCAGAGATACACAGAGACACACAAAACCCACGCCAGGCAAGGAGGATATACAGAGATACATAAAGACACACAAAACCCACGCCAGGCAAGGAGGATATGCAGAGATATACAAAGACACACAAAACCCACGCCAGGCAAGGAGGATATGCAGAGATACAAAAAGACACACAAAACCCCAGGCCAGGCAAGGAGGATATACAGAGACACACAAAACCCCACACCAGGCAAGGAGGATATGCAGAGATACACAGAGACACACAAAACCCACGCCAGGCAAGGAGGATATGCAGAGATATAAAAAGACACACAAAACCCCAGGCCAGGCAAGGAGGATATGCAGAGATATACAAAGACACACAAAACCCCAGGCCAGGCAAGGAGGATATGCAGAGATATAAAAAGACACACAAAACCCCACGCCAGGCAAGGAGGATATGCAGAGATACACAGAGACACACCAAACCCCACGCCAGGCAAGGAGGCTCCACGCCACTCATCATCAGGCACGTGCCCATCACAGCACGGTGAGAAATCGCGTCACACACGTTTTGAGATGGGTGCT